GCATTTATTATATTAATTTTTTTAATTTCAGAGAGGTGTTCCAGAAAGAACCATCCAACATTCCACAGTTTGCAGCAGGTATATACTTTACTACTAACACTCTTGAAAGTATTAAAAATTAAGTAGTCCATCATTTTCACACACACTAAGCTGTTGATTAAAAGATTTTGAACAGTTCTGTATGATCTTATATTTTAATGTTTAGGAGTTTTACATCTTATTTTCATTGGTATGGATTACACTTCATTAAAATCAATACTCTTTTAAATAACAATTTTTATGGTTTATAAAAAATATTTTTATTTTACAGAGCTCTTTGGAAGTGAAACATTTAAAGCTGACATTGATAAACTTTTGGAAGAAGCACAGTCATCATCACTTTAATTTTGTTGAAATAATATGGAGTTTTTGTTAGCTGACATTATTAAAATTGTTGAAGTAGGTTTTATTTATTAAAAGTGGATTATTTTTATTTAATTGTACTAAAAAATGAGTCTAAAGGTTAACAATAAAAATATTAACTATTCCATCCAATCAAGTTGATTTTTAATATCTTTGAAAATAGTCACTAAATAAACTAGTGTAGTAATATCTGAAGTAAGAAATAATAATTGGCTAACTGTATTATCAACACTTAAGAAGAAAATGAGGAAATTTTATTAGCAGCCTATTTTAAAATTCAATTATCAGCAACAAAGCAGAAACATTATTGTTCAATATTTTACACACCTTCATAGTTTATCGTTAGTTTTGAGGCAATGATTAAACAACAAGATTGGTGTTGATATAATATACAAGAATCTTGTATGGCTAGTAGTCTTTAGTGTTAAATCATAATAATTACATTTTTATATAGTTTTTAACTTTGAAATTCATCTTCTGAATTTATGACTTTCTGATCCCTTAATTTCTGGAACCTCTCCATGACTTCTATTACAGAGTACTCTCCATGAACTCTGTTATCTCTGGTCCGTACATTCACTGTTCCCGACATCTTTTCTCGTTCCCCAACCACTGTTCAAACAAACAAGACTAAATTAGTGCTTAGATACATGTGAAAAGTATCAGTCTGTATCAAAATTATAATGCTTACAAGTGGGACTCTATAATTACACAAGGTAGTGTGTTATTAAAATCTGAAACAGCCGATCCAATATTTGTAATTTCTGTATACTTGATTGTGGAACTACATAGAAAACTGATGTTTTGGGTATGAATTCATTTCTAAATATTTTTAAACACGTGCAACATAGGACTATGCATTCCCAATAAGGTATTTACTGATGTAGTTTGTCAAGTGGACAAATACTTTTGTTGACAATTGCAGTGAAGGATTTTTATTATTTCTGCAATTGTCAACAAAAGTATGAAAATGAATAACTTTCAAAAACAAAATAACAATAATGCTGTTGTGTGGAATAGTGTTTTTCTAGTTCTGTTCATCATTGTTTCATTAGAACACTAGAACAAGGCAAACTGAACAGTGTTTGTTTTGTAACCTGAATAGATATACATGTATTATGATTCATTTATAATATTTTTCATTCTCTTTGTAAAAGTACCTCTTTGGTTTTATTTTTGAGAACCAAAATTTATTGCAATCAATAGGTAAATCAACAAACAGTTTCTGTGCACCTAGAGAACTGAAAAAAAAGTTAACATAAGCTCCATAGCTAAATATGTGAAACTAACTAATTTGAGTAATCTATCAATGTAACACAGCTGCATCAAACTGACAAAATTTAATTTGTTTGTCAGTTACAAAGCATCATGGCCAATCTTTAAACCATAAGCATACTTAATTAGCAAATAACTGTTAATCAAATTTGATGAAAGAACTGTATGCTTTCAAAACAAGTGTTTCACTGAACTTAGTGAAATAATAAAAAAGCAATGCTTTGATGTATATGCAATCATCTTCAGACGACCTCCCACCCCTTCACCAAGCAGATGGCCCAATAAAACTACTGCTACTCATTAAAACTGAGACAGTGAGAATAAGTTTTACTTACCAAATATGAAGTTATACTGAGCTAACTGAGCAGTTCTTATCTTTTTGTTCATTGTAGTTCCCTGATCAAGGTCTACTTCACACAGAAATCCTCCATTATAGACCTCATCTCGCACCTATCAAACATTTAAGGTAGAAAATAAGAGGGATAACGCAATAACAATTACTGGCCAGAAACTGGATAAATAAAGCTGCAACTTTATTTTATTGATTATCCATTTTAACATTACAATTCCAACTACAGTCAGAAACTGATAAAGTTCAACCATTAATATCAAATTAATCAGTACTAGGAAAGTATAGAGAAATGTGGAAACATACTAGGTATTTTTAAAACTAAGGTAACTATTAAGTTATTTTCAATATATATCTAATATCTAATGAAAGTAGAAGGTCATCATACTAATGTCTTACACGGATAATTTTAAACTGTGAAGCTAAAAGTTTAAGTTCCTCAGGATATTTCAAATTTAAATATTTTATTTAAATTTATTATTAACTTTCTCAGGATACAATACTTTAAATTCAACTACTTCTCAGATTTCTAGAAAACCTTTTAGTCTACAAGCAAAAAGAACATGTCCAGAAATTTTACGAAAATCAACTGTGTATATGGTAACATTTTTGGTAATTATATATTAATAGCCAAATTTTTTTTACTGTTAAATAAATAATTAGAATTACTTTAAATTTGAAGTTCTAGCCTTTATACCTATCACGCAGCAAAGTAAGCTTTTTCTAGGTTAAAATGTCAGCAGTATAGTTTGACTTTACTTATTCCAAAATCACAATATTTTTCTGTTGAAAACACTATGATCACTAGATTAACACTGAAATTTGATTTTGTGTATTTCACACTGCTTAAAAATTGTATATAAAGTACCAACATATTTATCTTTTATGCAACATTAACAATTTATTAAATTTCGTTTTGAAAATCTCATTGATTCTGGAAAATGATTTCAGTCTTCCCTAATACCAACAAAATTCAAATCCAACTTAAATATGCAGATGCATATTTAATACAGAAACAGTGTGAGTAATTTAAAACTATACTAAGCTACTGTTACTTTTAATTTTATAAACTCTAAGTCATTCTTACCTGCTGAGCATAATAATCAAACATAGGCCCTACTGGAACAACAATGGCCTGACGTGGAGAAAGCCAAAATGGCCTATGTAGAATAAAACACAAAATGTTTCTTATTTCTACCTACACATCCAAAAATACAACTAATCCAACTGATAAAACAATCCATTCTAAGCTTTATAAGTAAAAACAATATATTTAATTACCAGATAGATTTTTAGTTATAATCTGCATATAATCTTTCTTTCTTCAGAATTTAATATTAATTAAACAGTCAGGAAATTACACAGCTGTAACATGATGAAGCTTCTTCATATATTGTACAAAGCCAAATAAGTCTGTGCTTAACATTTACAGTTTCTTCTGTAAAGTACTGAGAAGACATTCAATGATAGTCTTTTTATGTCCAATAAAGTTTACTATAAACATTTTTGTATTGTGTCTTCTCAGTCTTAAAATATTAAGGTAAACTTTTTAAATAATACAGAGAAAATGATTAATTTCTACACAGGAAATTAGTCTGATCTCACAGTGAACGAATTGGTCAATGTCCCAAGGACTGACTATGTAACCATTTTTAGTTGTATATACTATATAGTTTTAATACTGTATGTGTACTCACAAAACTTGGCAGACTTTTAGTAAATATTACAAGTCATTTGTACACAAAAAATATATTTTTTAATGAAGAATTTCTACTAAAAATTTGTCTGTGAACATAACTTTTTTTTTAACCAGACCGAGTGCAAAATAACTCTAAAATCTCAAATGTCATCTCTAAAACACTCTAAGTACATTTCAAACTTTCTTTTTTTTCAGTAAACACTTGTATTTTACCTGTTATTTTCTCTATGTTAACTCTATACAAGGTTGGTCAAATTGACCAACCTTGTAAACACCAAAAAAAAAAAGAGAGAAAAGAAATTGAAATGAATCTAAATTGTCTTTTTTTTCTTTCTAGAACTACTTCAAATTGAAAGATGAAACTACATTTGTTTATCCTAAGTAGCTTTAAACTTACAACAGTATAACTACTAGTACTATTCACGACATTATAATATAAGTTGTAAATCACTTGTGGAATATGTGGCTCACATTACACTATAGAATTACATTACTCAAGAGCTACTCCAAGCTGCTCACATATGTGCCTCATGAAAACTTTTTTTTATGTATTTATTTTACCTAACTTAACCTTAACTAACCTAGAGTTTCCTATTTTTACAGTTTAGTTACTTTTATAATAATAAAGAATACACATGAATAACAAGAAATAAAGTACTTACCAGTGCCTTATTTTTTTATGTCAATGACCTTTGTTTATACTAATAGCAGTAATGAACTAAATAATTTTTATTCAATTTAATCATGTGCCAAAGGATACAGAATAATAACATGCAAAAAGCAGACAATGTCTCATAATTATCACAATTTTTCTGGCTTTCTAACTATGGGACAAGAGCCATTACAAATTCATCCAAGCTAGTTGATGTGTTTCACATGGGAATGAAGCTTGTATTGAAAGATAAATTAATATTTTTCTTACAGAAAACAACGTGATATAACTTGACAGATGAAAACATTAGCTTTCTATTGGTTAAAAAGAATACAGTATTAAACATAAGAGAGAAATATTGACACACTCTTAAAGAGAGGATGAGACAGGTGGATGTGGCACAAGGGGTTTGATTTTCTGTTTGATAGCTCTGTAATTATTTTGTTCATGAAATGCCATGTATGATACAATTAAATGTTAATGTTTGAAGCTGAATAAAAGTGTTATTAAAATAAAAACATACCATTTACTTCTTTTTCACTAGTGGATGTCTTTACAAAGAGTTAAGACTTTTAGTGCTGGATTTAGTTGCCATAATGTGTTAAAATGATAAATGTTAAAAAGATGCTAAGCAATATTTGCTAGTTGCTAATCAAATTCAATATTTTGTCCCCTGTAATACAGAGGTTCCATGATTTACCAGTACACATTTGGTTCCAAACACATCTGATCAATAAAATATGAAACGTCAAAGTTTATAATTCTACTTGCAGTATGAAACACTGTTCACACCATGTACTGTGTACTGAAATTACATTCAACAATAAAGATGAGGAAGAACCAAGTTGTGAGAAGATTCATGGACATATTACATTAAACTTTCAAATATATATATATATATATATATAAACCACCAGAAAATAGGTTTAAAGAACAGTTTTTATTTATTTGGAACTCAAAATTTAATCATCTTATAATATTAGTGAGTGTCACTGCATGTCCTTACCATTTTCCACCAAAACTTTCTGTCAAGATTGCAAACATTCTTTCCACAGAACCAAGGATTGCTCGATGAATGATTACTGGTCTCTTCTTCTCTCCACTTTCACTGTAAAGAAAAGAGAATACACAGAGACAAAAAATTATATTAATGTTTGAATGACAGAAAAACATCATGAATAATGCATTTACTTTGTTATTTTTCATTAAAATAATCCACAAGGGAAAGGTAATTACTTTTTGTCTATAACTCTGCAAGGAAAGAAAAAAGAGCACACCAAGGCACATTTTTCTTACAAGAATGTTTTGGAAGTTACTGAAAGATGCACTGAGGTTTTACAAGGTTAGGAAAAGTACAAATTATAATAAAATGTCAGCTTATTCATCATTTATGTGGGAGAAACACTCACCTAATATAGGAAAGGTTAAATCTAAAAGGCAGCTGAAAATCTAACTGAATGGTAGCACACTGATGAGGTCTTTTTAGGGCATCCATGATGGTAATGTCAATCTTAAAAAACAGAAACAAAATGGAGTGCCATAGTGTTAGTTTTCTTTCAGAACAAGTCTGAAGTTTTGTTTGGAAGAAAGTATTACAACTTTAATTTTTTACTATATAACAACTATTAAAACTGAATCCTGACTTTTAACTCATGGCAAAAATTAATTTTGTAATTCAGGATAATCTATGGTATACATTATGAAAACATTCATTATTGAACAATGTTTGATCATTAAAACTATAATGGGGATTATATGCACTATTTGTTATTCTTCAATTTATTTGTACCATTTTTGTTATTTACATACGATGCCATTCAAAGTATGTTAAAAATTTACTGCTAAATCATTTTGTAATATAAGCACTGATCTAAGTATAAGTGACAGTACAAATGATGAAACTTAACTACAAGATTTTATTACACATCCTGATTAACTTATTTTAACTAATTAGAAAATGTTAAACAGACTTAAATACACTGCGTAAGAGAATTTAATAAACGATACAATACTGTACAAAACTGATGATTGTGAATAATTTGTCAGTTTTTCATAAACAAACATTATGTCAAACCTTTTTATTGAAAATCTCATCTTCCAATTTTATTACAGCATGAAGTTTAAGCTCAGTATAAACATAATTGGTTATTACATTCTTAAACCTGCATCCTCATGCCAAAATGTGGCCAGTCAAGAGTGAATACAAACTATAAATGCTACTTACTCTATTATTGTTATAATTGTCACCTAGCAATATCTTTACATATACATAAAGAGGCCTAAAGAAATTCAGCAAGAAGGACAATACAAATAGCAACATCAAGATACAAATAATGGTGTAGGAGAATGTGAGATGCATCTTGGATTTTCATGTTTCTGTGGAAGTAAGACATACAAAATGAAGTGGATATACAGTCTACTATATTTATCTTCAATTTCTCACCTGTTACAAGGAAGTACATGTTTGTGATAAAGCCTACATCTCACATTAACAGTAGCGTGCAGAGTTATTAGAACATCTCATTTATTCTGTAGTTTTAATTTGTCATGCTTATTAAATAAATCAGTTGTAGTACAAAATGTTCAAAAAGCATCAAAATAGGCAAATTGTTGGCTCTCATTTTGTCCGTGATTCTAGTAATATACATGTTTAATTAAATGCAACACATAACTACAAATGAAAGTTCAGTAGATTATTTATAACTTGTTCAAAATGTCTATTCTAAATACAAAGTTGTGCAACCTTAATACATGCGACTTATTTTAATTTACGTATCAGTCATCACTGATCAAAAGTTGAAATTTTCATATTCTGAATCTTCCTTTGAGGTTCACGTAGGTATATAAGGGATGATTATTATTTTTTTAAAAAACATTGTCCAGTACAGCTAATATAATGTGGCGATGCCATCAAAATGTCAAAATAGAAATTCAACGTCCTTTATCAGAGACAAGTCTACATTATGCTGCTTGGAGTTTAATAAAAATTGCAAAACCTATTTTTTTTTCATTCACCAAATAACTTAAAGTAAATATTGCACACACAAAAGTAAACCCAGTCTCATAGCATCAAAACTAGAGACATTTTTCCATAAAGATGTTTTCATAAAAATAAAGATATAACTTTGTAATTAGCTCCCTTTGGAATTCCCATAACTTGCTTATAAACTTAATTCTTAAAGAAGGTTATTATAAACCTTATCAAATCATTAATTACTCACTTTAAGCAGTGAAATACAAGTTTATCAACTACAATTTTTAAAACATGAACAAGATCATTTAATGTGCAAAATAGTAAAATCATATGTTAGAACTTCAGTAACTAACTTTCTATAACAAATTTTTCACATTATGTAACACAATTTCATCATTATTCATTTACTATCCAGAAATTATGGTTATTGTTATTATTATATTTAATTTTATGCAGCAACTAATTAAGAAATTTTATTTAAATGACAGTCTTTATGAAGAAGGCTAAGAGAAAGGACATGGCACTGAAATAACATCCAGTAATAAGGATGAGAAATATCTTGAGACCAATGTGGGAAACTGTAAAACAAATCCCATGCAGTCATTCCAAAAGGATAAAACAATATCATGTGAAAACGAGGGACTTGCTTGGTGTTAAATCCTCCAAGGTTTCAGAGGAGAGCAGAAACTTATAAAAGTCAGCATGATGTAAGAAAAAAAAAGTGAATGTACTTAAAATAGGTTTAAATTCCAACTCAAACTATTTTCTCCAAACTGAAACAAGTTTTTGATAAAGACATCACCAGATTTTGAAAATGCATTGAAATGCAAATGAGAAGTTTTATTCACTAGGTAAGAGTGGCAAAAACCTAATAAAAACTAAATTCCCGCAGAAAAACTGGGATATGAAGGTATTCAGGGTACTTTGTTTGGGATTTGAGACACATTCTTTCTCAAACTACTCTGCAATGAAGTTTTTTTATCAACAAAACACAAGGTATAATCTTCTTGAAATTGAACATCATCATGCTCAGCTTTTGTAAACCAACTATGTAATTTAACATCCTTTTTAACTCACCACATAGCAACCTAAATTAAGTTAGATATGTGAATAATATTATGGCATTACACCAAATTTATCATTCAGTATTATACAGTGGACCAACTGTTTAATGATTATGTTATAGATTTCTTTATACTAAAGGTAAAATTGAAAATATAGTATGTGATGTAAAGGCTTAATGCATAAGTTATATTTTATATTTCACCTTCAAAGATTCTTAACACACACACACACACACACAAACTAAATATTTATTGTTTTTAGAGCAGTGCAGAACAATCCAAGCTTTTTCAATTGCTGGCTAATTATTGCTATTAGATTCTTGCTGAAATCCATACATGTGATCCTAGTTATTGAAACCTCTTTTGTAAATTGGATGTTTGATTGTCATCTAAGGCAAACGACTTTGAACAGAAAACTAACTGAAACTGTGATCCACACATTAGTATCACTGTGAATGGTTTATTTGATTTAAAAGAAACTCTACATGAACTAGAAAAAAGTTGTTAAAATAATAGTTCTACTATTGGAATAATTAAAATATGAAACAATCACTAATTTCCATTTAAAAATAATGAGGTAGTACAGAAAAGTCAATCATGTTCTCAAAGGTTATAAAAACACTGTACAGTGTACTATAAAAAATGTTGCAAAATATATAAAAAAATAGTTATATAACTACAAATCATGTAAGTTAAAACATCTTTAAACCAACATAAGGCTAATATTAATGTACCTTTGGACCATAGAAAGCTCCATCTCCAGGATTCAGGGTCCACTGTTGACCAAAATTCTCAAGACTGTCTTGGAGTTGCTGTAAGAAATTTACATATCAAACAAACATTATAATGCCCAGTCATACCAACAGAGATATGGATAAAAATGAGGGTATTTCCATTCTTAATAATTTGGAATAATAAAGGAATGTAGACCACAATGGTAAATGTACAAGTTTTAACCTACTGATGAATTTGATGGTGTGTTTGGCTAACCTTGATTTTTAACATCTGACCAATGATTAATTATAAGACATATTTTGTAATAGTAAAAGAGGAAAGACCTGAATAACAGTTACCTTATTTTTTATCTTAATGTTAAAGATTGTTTTACATCAGATGTCACCATTGCAGTTTCTTTGTTATTTAAAGATAAATTAATAATTAACCTTTTCAGCTTGGTTCCACATCTCTATGTCTCCAAGGTAATCGTCTGGCCTAGTTGCAAGTTTCAGCTGGAAAGTGAATCCAAACACAGTATAAACATCTTGAAGAAAGGACAGAGCTCCATCAATTTCTTGGGCAATCTGATGGAAGAGAAAAAGAAAACAACTTAAAGTTTAATAAACATCATAAAAAGTGTCAGTGAATAATAAAACTTTACCTAAGTTGTTAGAATAACTAAGTTAAAACAGTTTATGTGCTGATAAATATATGTGTACAGGTTTGTAATTGCAAGCATAACTTTAAATTATTATAACCACTTTTTGAAATAAAGTTTTACTTCGAAATTTTGGTTTAGAAGTCCTATTACATAGGACCACAACATACTATAGCAATGGCTACAATTATTTCACAAATAACATTTTACATGGTTTCATTCATAATTCTTTTAAAGAATAATATATCAAAATCAAAGAATCAAACAAATGCCAACTGTAATCTATAAGAAGAAATATTCAGGCATATACTGTATGTATACATACACTGTATGTGAAGTAATTACAATCTCTCCTTCTTTACACACCTGCTCTACAGCACAGAATATGTGGGCATCATCCTGCTGAAATCTACGAACTCTGGTTAGTCCAGACAGGGCCCCAGAAAGTTCGTTTCTGTGAAGAACTCCAAAATCTGCCATTCTTAAGGGAAGTTCACGCCAAGATCTTGGTCGATGATCAAACATGAGGCTGTAAAATGTACATTATATATACATATAAACACACATATTTGTTAATTAGGAACTATTTATTTTAATGCATGAATCCAACTGTAAATCGGTTCTGTTTTGTATAAATACCTGATACTCTAATAAAAATGTGCTCACACTGCAGCCGAGTAGAGTACACATCAGAACCGATTTACAGTCAAATTTATACATTAGAATAAATAGTTCCTAATTAACAAATATTAAATCTTTCCTCTTCTTTTAAAAATGAAAGAAATGTTAATCAAGTCTTATATTCTTCATTATTGGTTTTGATACTGATCTGGAGGTCTTCTCTGTTGTAATGGATGACATTGTCTCTCTGGGGTTACTGCAAGGGCAGTTGATGTATCAGAAACCATCTGGATAGCAGGTGAAGACATTGGTGAAAAAGTCTGGATTGAAACAACTTCCAGTTTTACAGGGGATGGTAATGCGGGTGTAATTACATTAGGCTCTGCTGTAATAAGCAGTTTGGATGATCACGTGTAGATTTGTGTGATTCTGGAGTACAGCTTTCTCCATTATGTGGGACAATCTGATCCGTATAAATATGTCTGGTATTTTCTCCTACACGCACCATGTAACCTAATGGCCCTAGCCATTGAACTATAACTGCAGGGCTCCACTTCTGTTGATGAACTCAATAATTATGCACCAGAACTCTTTGACTAAGTACAAAAGTGCTTCCTCGTCCTCTTCCAGTCTGCTCTTTGTTGTCGATGTGTTTAGCCAAACTGGGTTGAATTAAATCCAATCTCAATTTGTGCTTTAAGAACAATCTGTCAGTGTGTGTGAGGTGTACAACGATAGGCAAACAATATATTTGCTAACTTGTGCTCTAATGACGGATCATTTAAATTCGAGTAGGATTTCAATCCTTGTTTCAACACTTGCACCATTCTCTCCACTACACCATTTGAGGATGGAAAATAAGGAGCAATGCATTTATGTTGGATTCCATTACCATGTAGAATTGTGGCAAACTCTGCGGGAGTGAACTGCAGATGATTATCCCACACAATTTCCTAGGATAATCTGCAAGATGAAAATAAAACACGTAGTTTTGTGATTGTGGCTTCAGATGTTGTAGAAGACATAGGTAAAAACTCTGTCCAAAATTCTCTAGTTTGTGAATCCACTAGTACAAGGAAATTCCTTTTCTCAAATTCTGCGTAGCCAACGTAAGGATGTTGCCAAACCCTCATGGGCCACGATCAGTAGTGTACAGGAACTGAGGCTGGCATCTTTCGTATACACGCACAATCACTACATGCATGGACAATGTCCTCAATATCCTTATCCAGACCAGGCCGTCAACAGTAACATCTCGTTAAGGCCTTCATTTGACACATACCTGGGTGTCCATCAGGTAGTCATGTAACAATCGTTCTTGGTGGTTGGTTGGAATAATAATCCAAAGTCCCCACAGAACACATCCTTGCTCTACAGATAATCCAGCTTTTGATTGAAACATGGATATAACTCAGGAGTGTTGTCTTGTTGTGGCCATCCATTCAGAGTGTAGTCAAGCACTTTTGATAGCATAGTATCTTTATTTGTAACATATCTAATGCCCTTGGATGACACCTACATTATAAAATTGATAAATACTCATTTCCTCTTATGTTAGAGCTTCTTCACATGGGAGTCATGAAAGAAAGTCAGCTTTGCTGTGGTTTACGGAATATTGATACTTGATGTTACACTAGTGAGATGACAGGATCAGTGAGTACCTCTGTAATCAGGCAGCAGTTATCAGAGGTATTCCAGTCTTAGGTCTCAGTAACTTGGTCAATGACTGATGATTGGTAACTAACGTAAAGTGGCACCCATATAGGCATTTGTGAAACTTCTTTCATCCGTATACTAATGAGACAGCCTCTTTCTCCAGCTGTGCATAATTTGTTTTCACTAGAACTTAAAGAATGTAATGCAAATGTGATGGGTCATTTGCTTCCATCGGGCATTATGTGTGAAATAACCAGTCGGAAATTTGATGTCAAAATGTTTTAACACTTGGGCTGATGCAAGTTGTTTCTTGACAAACTTAAGTGCATTATTACGTTCTGCTGTTCGTACTCAATGTTTTTGTTTTTGCAAAAGTTTGTTCAAACAATGTAAATGGTTTGATAAATTTGGCAAAAATCTGGTATAGTATTGGACCATTCTGAGAAAAGACCTAAGTTCTGTTATACATGTTGGTTTTGAGCATTGATAACGGCTTTCACTTTATCACTGGTTGGATGTAGACCTTCAGCGTTGATCACGTCCCAGATATTCAACATCGAATTGCATAATCTGACATTTTCCAGGCTTAAGTTGAATGCCATAGTGTAGTAGGCATTTGAAAACAGACTTGAGACATTGTAGATACTGCTCACATGTTGATCCCATAACCAGAATATTGTCAAGGTAACATAAGATGCCTTCGAGACCCTGGAGTATCTGCTCAGTCTTATTCTGAAAAATTGTTGGAGCAGTGGCAAAACCAAACAGTTATTGATTAAACTGTGTGTTGATAGTTGAATATTGGTGAGAATCTTTATTGACGACTAATTGTTGATAAACTTGGCTCATATCCAGCTTGGTGTAAAATTTTCCACCAGCAAAGGCAGCAAACAAATCATCTGGATTAGGTAATGGGTATTTATCCATATCTAAGCACTGGTTGATGGTCATTTTGTTGTCAACACAAACACAAATAGTTTTGTCCGAATTTTTGGCACACAATTGGAGTGGCCCATTCTGAATTCATCACTTTACTTATGACCATAAATTTCTCCAGATGCAACAACTCATCTTCAACAAGTGACTCCAGTGAGTATGGTAGTGAGCGAGGCTTATGAAACTTTGCCATTGCATCGGATTTCACGAAGATTTTTTGCTTTTTGCTATGTGCTCTTTAATTGTCCTTAGAGCCACCATTGAGTAAACACTTATATCTGTTCATCAAAAAAAAAAAATTGTCACCTTGAACAATGTTTGATTCATTATAATAAATCATGCCCTACAACTGCTGGCTGATTTTGCACCTCATCAATCATGATTGGTGCGTGATAATTGTTCATTATAACAAATGTTCATATCAGCTTGGCCTAACAGCAGAAGTATCTCTTCTGTATATGTACAAATAACTATGTGGCATGGAAGAAGTTTAATGTTTGTCAATTGTTGGCAGTAGATATCTTCAAGAATAATCGTCACTGACGTGCCTGTATCCACTTTAAACTGAATTGAATGATTTTCGACTTCAATTGGCACAGTTACTGGTTTTGGTATAGACATTGATTTCGACAAATAAATCTGATGGAAACCAAATGAATTCCTCAGTATCAGAATCCTCTTGAAATACGTACTTTCAAGACCTCAGACTTACACGCAGCTTGTATATGGCCTGTCATTCCACAAGAATAACACTTACTGTTCCTGTAATAACATTTCGAAGGATCATGTCCTTGTTTTGTGCAGTGTGGATACGACTTCCCACATTGTTTTGATTTTCACCTTTATTGCACAGGATCATGCACTGTTTTTGTTTCTTCTGAGTCAGTGTTTTATGACGTCTGAGGATTCTCTTGGAGTACTGTAGTTTCTTTCGCCAAATTCTATGCAAACGTTTGTAGCACCTTGCTGCTTCAACTCCCGTGCATCGTGCTCAGCCATTTCCATTGCAATAGCTACTTCTGAAGCACACTTGAAAGTCAAATCCTGTCAGACAACAATTTCCTTTGAATAGCTTATGATAAAAGACTACACACAATATATCTTGTAATGCTTCATTTAAAAAGGTCCCAAACTCACAATCTTTTGATAATTTTCTCACTTCAGAACTAAATGGCAATACACTTTCCCTATAGTTGTGTTACGACAGCGGAGGTCACGTGACACTGGTAACACTTGATAAATGTCTAGAAGGTTCATGAAGAGGCGAGTGCATTCTAGACACCCTCCATTCTTGTATATAAGTGCGGCAAATAAAGCAAGATAATTAATTGGATAGCAGACAGAGAGATAGGGAAACAGATAATCGAATCAAGTCGTAAGTAAAGTGCGTGAATTGTTGTGAATTATAGGGTGTGATTAAGTTAAAGTGACTGTGGAAATTAAGTGTATTGCAAAGTTGTATTGAGAAAGAATAAACTAGTTTTATCTTAAGAAAGGACTTGTATCGCTGAAGTTCTTCGGAAAGAATTTTTATGGGAAATTAACAAATGAACAGAGAGGTAACAGTTGATTACAGCTGTAAAATTTAAATCGTTCAGCTATGATGAGCAGCTTAGGAGTGAGATGAGCTTTTAATGTAGCTGTTAGGTCAGTGTACGATTTAATTGAAGACAACAAATTTTTCAATAATGCATACATTTTGGCAACAATAAAACTAAAAACCACGGTCTTATGTTTGGCTTCAGCAATGCCATTGGCCTTGAAATACCATTTTAAACGTTCCTCATAAGATTCAAACTCTTCAATTCTGCTGAAAGTTACCGTGGTAGGCAATGAGCCCATTACAGAAAGAGAGAGAGAAAAAAACTTTGCCAGTTTTTTGCGTACTGAACTCTACTTGGCTGCAGTGTAAGCACATATTTATTAGAGTATCAGCTATTTATATAAAACAGAAACAATTTAAAGTCTGATTCATACATTAGAATAAATAGTTCCTAAATATTACAGTTTTCAAGTCATATCTTTGGCCAGTGGAACAACTGGTTACATCATTTTACTTAGAAGCAAACATAAAAAAGTCTTCATGACCAGTTTGATATCCTCCCCTTGATATTGCAAAGTTTCTGCAATGGCTCACAAGGTTTTGATACCTATCAGGATAGATTCTAAGAGGTAAAATATACAGAGGTACTTTGCCTTTTGCTACCTATTAAAGGCATAATGAAGGAACAAGTTGTGGTATAGAGTTTTCTCAGCTTCTTCATTCCAGAAATAATACTGTGTAATCTCTTCATGGCAACATACCCCTCTCTTCCCTTAGCTTTTTGCTGAATTCTCTGAAATATATAGCTTAGGATTCATATTGAAGTTGATTACAATAACAGTTATCAGAAGTCTTCTTTTTTTCAATATGCATATTGCTTTAATTTCATCATGCAATTTGATATCATTGTTTGTCGATTAACAACTATTATTAATCTATGTCCTATGAATAATACAATTTTTGTCCAAATATAAACAAGAAGTGTTGTGGTTGATTTGTCATATGCATATTTTGATAACGTGTTTGAAACAATACTTGCAACCTGAGAAATCAGTGTTTGTAACCATATTCATTCTTGTTTGGTTTGTGAAGACCACATTCAAATTATAAATGGTCACTGTTGATCTATTTTAAAAAATTTAGGCAATATGCAATTCTTCTCAAGAAATTATATTTTTATTGTGCTACAACAACTTTGTTTAGAATACCTTTAATACAACATTCGTTTTATCATTGACCAGTATCCCAGTTACATATTCTATGGCTCTTCATGGTTGGATGCTACTTAATCTTAGTTTGTTCACAATTTCAAAGAGAGCTGTTTGGCTCACAATTTCTTATGTTCAACTGATACATCTTTTTGGGTGAGTGCATTTGGAAAAGTGCTATATAAATAACAATGGCAATATTGACTGATAAGACTTTGTTCTTCAGAAAACGTTTTCCCATTATACCTTCAGCCAGTGGAATAGCTGGTTGCACCATTTTACTTACATCTGAGCCCCCGAAGGTTCTAATGACCAGTTTGATATCCTTCCTCAGGTATTGAAAAGCTTATGCAATGGCTCCCAAGATTTTAAAAAGTTGTTTGGGATGTTGACTGATACATAGCTATTCAATGGAGCATTTCTTTGCAGTAGCTTCAAATTTAATAATATTTTCTACCAGACTTAGCTTTGTTGCTGTTTTCTAACATAACACTAACTTTCCTTGAAAAAAAAACTTTTTTCAACTGAGTTGCAGTGGCTGGATACAATATTTGTGAAAGATCTTGAATGACCTTTCTTAAAATGTTCACCTTGATGCCCCAGAGAGTGTTTGGTATTTTGCTTTGAAGCATCTTCATGTAATTGTTTTCTTATTTTTTTCACTACAGTACCAGGTATCCATCCAAAAGCATGTTCATGTCAATAAAGTTGGCATTCTTTCTAGATAATGTGTTAAGTTTCAACATTACCATCTGAACCACCATCTTTAGGATCAATGTAAACAATAGCTTTTACTTCTTTTCACTCTGCATTTTTTTGTATTCTTTTTTGAAGATTCTCTTTGTGGCCAAATTCCCATTGACTGCATATATTGAAACACTGTTCCAAAGAAATGGGAGAAATAGGATCATGTTGTAATGTTTCCACAGTGTTCTAAATTAACTTTCTAAAATAGGAAATAACACAGAAAAATGGAAATAACCTTTGGCTAGAAAATAAAAAATAGTCAAAGAAGGGGGAAAGAATGTTGATTAAATCCACCATAAAGAAAAAAAGAAATGACATTTCATCTACAGAAAACAGAAACCCTAATCCATAGCTATTGTTCTAGTATTTGAGTAAATTTCAAAATTTTACAGTGTTGCACAATCCAGATATTTCAGCAGTTGCAGCCTGCTTAAGTTGCAAATTCACAGTAAAGTAAAACAAAACATACAGTATATGTTTTTCCTAATATACATTATCGAAAATATCAGAATCTTAATGTCTATGATACAATGATGCAAAAAATTACCTACATTTCAATATTTGTTACCCTTAATTATGTAAATAAATATTATGTCAATCTAGAAAACCTTGATGAAATGAGTGGTTAGTGTTAATATTTTAATACAAACTTTTTAATTTATGGTCAAAACATTTAGACTAGAAAAGTATTTAGAATAACTAGTCATGTACATCTTTAAAGTAACTTTTAATACTGAGTTTATGAAAAAGGCAGGAGAACATGCTCAGGGAAATCAAAAAGTTATTTGAAATTATCATCAGAAAGTAATACACACCAATGTCCTGGACAATTCATTGGCTTCAAGGCATATTTTTCTTTCTCAAGTTCAAATGAAAACATGTTTTCCTGGAAATTTAAATACCTTAACTTAATAGCATATAAAACATTCTGAATGAATTCAATACTGTAATTAAAACTGTGAAAATTAACAAAAAACATTATTAATAAATGTTAATATTTCATTTCACTGTTATCATTACAAAATAGAAATTAATTATATATTCTAATTTTTTTGACACTAACAGCAGTTTATAAATAGACACCATAAAAAAATCACAGATTTAAAGAATATATTTTAATCTCAAGAAAACAATGTAAAATTAATAAATTCAAAGAATGGCCTTAGTAAACAAACTTGAACAAGGGGGGAAGGGCTTGATAATGTACAATGATAATGGATTTAACTATTATTTACATTTGACTATAATATACATGTATAGGTTTAAACAGATGCCATTCATTACTGATTGTGTGTATATTGCTCGCATGATTTAATTTTAAACAATATAAAATGTTTTATATTGGTTTAGAAAGACATGCTCTGTGCACACGAGACATTTTTGTAAATAAATCTCATTTTATTGCATAATTGAACTGTATTCTATTATAATATCACTAGGATATTATTCTTAAAGAAGTAAAAAGGAAAATACTGAATTATAATAATAGAATTCTGGAGCTAAACGTAAATTTCATTCACTTAAAAAAAATTTTTTCCCCTAAATAACAATAATAATGAAGTCTGCATGACAGACATATATTTGTATATACCAAGTAAATATCAGACAGAATCATTTTCATATATTTTTTAAGCTTAAAATGCATAAAAGCAATGGTTGGTACCACAGGGAAATGAATGTGGTAAAACAATAGGACATTAATAACTTACAGAATAATGTTGCCAGTGGCCTGAGGTCTCCCACAGTTTACTATTGAAAATGTTAGGTGAAATAACTTCTTGGAATCCTCTTTTTTTATATTCACTCTATTTAAAACAAAACAATACTAAAATCATAAATAATATTCAACGTTAAACTGGTACACATTTAAAAACATTCTATTTAGGCTTATCTATGGCCTTCAAAAAGTTGACGACTTTACATGTTTTGATGTTACATCATCATCCTCAGTTATTAAAACAGTTATTCACATCTGAAAATTTGACACCATATAATCATTTATATGTGGAACAGCTTTTATATAACAGCTTCAATACTGAATATACAAAATTCTGTAAGTGATAGGTAATCATATAGTCTCTTAAACCTTATTATTAAAACTACAACACATCTAAATATAACATCAGTAAACAGGTAGTCTAATTCTCATTGTAAAAACTTAATGTATAACATACTGATCTTTGAGAATATGACTAACCCATAATAGCAAAAAATTCTGATGTCAAGCACTTTAGGTTTTATAGACAGATTTAATATATTTCGATAAATCTCAAATAGAGAGAAAATATGTTGTATGACAGGATAAAAGCATTATCAAAGGATTTTTCTAAAACTTGTATGTATGAACATGTGCATGATTTAAGATATTTGTTGTGACTAAAATTTCAACTTCAAAAACTTTATTTCTATTGTTCTAAAGAATGTTTCTACCATTATGTATCTGGGAAACCTTACATTACAGTTTGTGTAATAAAATACTTTCTTAGAAATTTGAGTTACACCATTCTTGTTGCTTTTTTTAAAGCCCATTAACACATTTATTTAGTCTTGCAATTAAACACAGACAAAAAAAAGCCATGTAAGTGACTTCACTTCATGATCAACTGCTAGAGACAAATATTATAAAGTTCTACCCAGTTTAATTACTTTAAAACCTCACATTTTCCTGCCTTCAGAAAGTAAAATAGGCTTAGTAATCAACATATACTGACATTTCATAATATAACAAACAATTTTAGATCATAGGTAATAAAGAACTGGATTTTGTCCAGATAGCGGTTATGAAGACAACAGATGTAAAAAATAAGTAAACAGAAATTAAATAATCCTATTCATATAACACAAAAATACAGAAACTTTTTTAAATTGTGAACTCAAAAAGAAAAATCTAAATTCAGAATTCTTACTCTAATAAAATCTAACAGAGTGTTGTAGATGTGAGCTCCTCGAGGTTGAAAGAAACAGCTCCCTGGGCTAAGTTCATGGAAAAAATACAACTCTTGCTCCTGCACAAACAGAAATGTGGCAAAAAATTGAATGAAATTCAGTTCACTTTAACTTCTTTGCAATAAAAACGTTAAACTGTATAACAGAAATCTGTAAAAGAGAGAGAGAAAGTTCTGCATATTTAGTTTAGTATAAAATTCATGTTAAAAGCAATCTCCTTGAAACCCTGGGGTTTAGCATCAATAGTATATTACCAACTTTAAAACAGTGTGTGTCATGCCATACCAATATTGTTTTAATGCCTGTTCCCAAAACTGTTTCATTGCTTAACTGCTGTGTTAACATATTTTCATTCCTCCAGTCAACCTGTTGTAACTAAGATAGTTCTCTTTATCCAAGTGCTATTCAAAAATATATATCTTGGAATCATCATTGGCATATGTATTAGCCTATTTACAATATATTCTGATAGGGAAGCTTCATATTACTTATAAGGTGACTCAAAAAGCAGCCAGCACAAGCTACATGACATGAAGAAACTTAGTTTTGGAATTCATTCAAGCTATTTTCAAAACATGTTATTTATTGGCATTAATCAGTTATTCATACTTACTATGTGTAGAACTGAACTGACTGTAAATTTATTTTTTAAGAGTTTTCAAGAAGAGTAAAAGTAATATTTTTTTTGTTTAAGATTCAGAGATGGTTTGCAATTTTATCTAGCAAGGTCTTGTCCATTTTGTTTTGTCTTTTAATATTTTCTAGAACAAGTTAGAGGTAAAAACGTTAGCTTCATTCTAACACTCTGCAAACCAAAAAGACTCTCCAATTTCACTTTGCAATGTGTCCATGATTTCCTATTTTGAAAAGCAGACTGTTCCTGATTTATTCAATCAAGGGTTGGCAGGAATGGGCAGATATCCCCTTCTGTTTTACTCATGAAAGTCCATGAGAGATGGTCCACAATGGAGTGAAATATATGGATATTGAGAAACATATGCATATACCACTGGGCATGCCACCAGATGAAAGTCCATGAGAGATCGTCCACAATGGAGTGAAATATATGGATATTGAGAAACATATGTATATACCACTGGGCATGCCACCATTGGTCTTGCAGAACACCCCATCTCTACAGTAAGTATTATAAAGCAAGTTTGAGGCAAAGCATACCTGATCAGGCAAAACCCACCACAGAGTGGGATTCCGTTAGCAGTGGTAAAAAAAGAGGGTCTATGAAAACATAAATGAAATGAAGTGATTAGACTTACCCTAGTCAAAGGCAAATGAATAAGTGTAGAATTGCCACAGGAGGGAAACAGTATACACCTGAGGAAGATACAGACAGATTGTGCAGATAATGAGTAGTGGGAGTAGTCCACTTTCTGGCCTGAACAATCTGCTTCAAAGGATGGTAAAGGCAAGCAGCCAAAGACATGGTGATATGATGAATTTGATAAGAAGAAATGTTGTGGAAATGGCGACCTTCTATGGATAAGTTGGAATATGCCAGCCCAATTAGTTGACAAACCCAACCAGTTAGTGTGAAGGGGATAAATCATGGGAAACAGAAGGATTTCAGGGAAGAAAATGTCAGGAGCATGAACTCTAAAAGGAGGCAGTACATGCCACATAACACCATAAGGAACGAATCAGACAAAGAAGCTGATCTGGATCAGAATGGAAGTACAGGTGGGAGATGGAAGGTAAAGAAAAGGGTGTGAAAACCAAACAGCCTTCATGGGTACCATAGGTCTTAGGAAGGAAGAAACAGTCTGGATATAGGATGACATAAATAGAATGGTAGAGGGTTCTGGTAACATTAAGGGCATAAGTATCTGATTGACAATGTCTGCAAGTGAGGAGGAGAAGGCAACAGGTCTTGAGGGAAAAGATGGTATATGGAACACATTGACAAAGCTTCAAAGGGAGGACAGGAAAGAGCATAAAGGACCACATTAAGATCCCAATCAGGTAAATCAAAGGAACATGGAGGATGCATGACACAAAAGGAGGGAAATAACAAGGGAAGACAAAACCTTATGAAACATGGAGAAACAGAAGGTGTTCAACAAGGCCACCTGATAGCTAGACACAATCAAAATGACCAAGCCATTTTCAAACAACCAGGTGAAGAGACCAAAGGCAGAAGATAGACTGGCACCTTTGGTAAATGGACATGGATCTGGAAAGGAAAGATGCAACACATGGAATCAGCCCAGGGCTAAGGCAGTGGACCTAAAATAATCCAAGTGTGAAGATGGTGGGTGGTGATATCTGGATGAACAATGTCTGACCAAGGTTGACAGACTAGAGACTGGGACAGAGGTAAGGGTAAGGGAGGTTGTACAAGTAAAGGTCAGAGCAGTGAGTAGATTGGATTAGGGAGTAGTTGAATAGGAAGGTAAGCATAGGTATGATGACATCTCCAAACTTGAGTGAATGCATCCACTTCCAGAGCTAGTGGGTGTGGAACTAGAGACTAAAAGGAAGGAAGTTTGGTGTTCCAGTGGGTGGTGAAAGCATTGATATGAGATGTTCCTAGCTGAGAAAAAACCCACAAAAAGACCTGTGAATTGAGGAACTACTCCATGTGGAGATCTTGTTGGGTCAAGATAAATGATCTGCAACCAGATTCAGTGCACCAGAAACACGTCAAGCTAAGACCACCATGTTCTGGCTGTGGGCCCAGAAAAGGAGATCCAGAGTCTGAAAGCACAGAGACCTGGATTTGGTATCCTCTTGCTTGGTGGAGTTGTTGGAGTGTACTGTAACCACCCTCATCTGCAGGAGAGGAAGGAATTGGGACAAAGCTCGATGAACTGCCACAAGTCAGAAAATTATGTAGTGGAGAGAAGACTTCTTGACCAACCAGAGACCAGAAATCGTTCGAGAGTTGACGTAAGCACCCTAACCTTCTACAGATGCATCCGCGAACAGATGTAAATCCTGACAAAGTGGAGGAAGTGGAATCCTCATTGTGATCTGGTCCCTGTTTAGCCATCAAGCCAGGTCAACCCTGATTGAGGATTGGTAAAAGGGTGGTCTAATGGATCTGAGTAGAAGTTCCATGAGTGACAGTCAACAATGGAGTGAAACATATGGATATTGAAAAACATATGTTTATACCACTGAGCATGCCACTAGTGGTTTTGCAGAACATTCTATCTCTACATTGAGATTTATAGTGCAATCAGTAAATAGGAATGTCTACTGACATATATGAGCTCAACCCATGGGAATCAGAGCTTCCAGGGAAGCCCACATCTTCTAAAGAGATAGAACCTCGCGAGCTGTGAGAGAATGTGAGGTGAGGGCCTTGTGGACTGCTTGCTCCATATCCCGAAGATGAAGAGAAGAAGTTGAAAACCCTCCAAATGCACAAAGTACTGAGTGGAGGTAAGAATGGATTTCTCCATCTTTATCAAGAATCCCACATGTGCTGCTTCTTGTAGGAGCAGATGCATGTGGTCTCTGGACTGTGAAGGAGAAGAAATGAGCAGTCATCCATGTAATGATGAGTGTGAAGACCCATTGAGCAAAGATGTTGGGCAAAACACAGAAGGAGCAGAAGTTAGTCCAACCGGTGAGGTCCTAAACTGGAACACTAGACTTTTAGCTATAAATAACTATTGATAATGTGGGTACTGTGGGGGATGAACCCCAAATTGTAGAGTAGGAGGAGAAAATTTGGTACCAAGAACATAGGAAATGAAGCCAATGCAAAGCTCAGCCCTATGAATGGGAAAGAAACGAACATGTTGGCAATGTAGGAATACAAAAAAATTAAGTCCTACGTTGATGAAAATTAGTATTATAAGGCACATACTTAACAATGACTAAAAAAAATAAATTCTGATAGAACAATGAATTAGGCATTACTAGCAAGAAGTAAGAATGATATGTAAAGTGCAAACAATCTAAACATATCTATTTAACAAAGTACTTATTAATATCAAACTGACAAACCATCAAAATGTACTAAGTCTACAAAGTATGTAACAATAACAAACATGTATACTGACTAAACTTATCTGGAAAACAATTTAATAATTCATATCTAACTTATAATAAATCTAAATTAACTTAGATGACAAAGGACACATAAATATTTAACTTCCCAAATTTCGAGCACTGATGACATGAAATATTTAATTCTCCTGTGTGTAAATAAGGACAAAGCCACACAAAAGGTATCTGAGCCATGGGTATCGCAATCAGGTGCAAAGCAAAGAAGTAAAAACAATTTTACCATTGGTTCACTGGGAAATGTTGGAAGCAATAGGAAGAAAGAATAAGAACAAACCTCCACCAAAATATATGACATAAAGGCACAGCAACTGGAGTTGAAAAAAGAAAACTAGAGAAATCATCCTTATCTTGAACATACAGGAAAAAAACCGAATATGCATCTACCGTCAAACTGAGTAATCAGCTGTAAAAAAGGGTGTGGAAGGTGAAATCTCCCGAAGAGGTGTAGTGTGACAGACTAAAATAAGGTGCTGGGGAAAAAAAGAAAAAAAAAAAGAAGTCCAAATTGTCTTATCCTTGATTGTATTTTTCTCAGCAACACTATCAGGTTGAAAGGAGAAGAAATCATTGACCGAACATATTAATCTATCTTCCTTTGATTTAAGGCCCGTATCTCCTCTGCAGATAAAGTTGAACCTGATTCATGGGTAGTTGTATCAATAGTGTTGTTGACTGTAATGGGAACTATTGTAGTCGATATATTGAATCACAAATTCATATGAAGTTCTCGTAAAATTTGGTAACAAGAAAAAAATTAAACAACTGAATGGTAGCCTCATGCGTAAAAACACGTCTAAATAAGCTGTGCCAATTAAGAAAGTGAGGATTGAGTGGAAATAGCAGAGAGAGTAACTATAGGTGGCACAATACTTTTGGTAGAGAGTAGTCATATGATATGTTCATGTTCAATAGTGGTGCAAAATTGGTGGGGTATATAGACTGGTGTGGTGAGCATGAAAATTTTTTCAGCAACACTTGGAGGGCAGAAAGAGGATTGAGATAGCTCTGTGTTAGAGAGGAGGTAAGACTGTATTGGAAAAAATCAGATAACTGAAATTAGTGTTTCCAATTCTTTTATCTAGGTCTTAAATGAGAATAATATCTTTGTTAAATTTAATCAATGAATTAACCCAACAATTAATTGATTAGCAAATTCCGCTAATTGAGTATCTCTACTCCTGGGTGGAGCTAATTTTCTGGTGCACTACAATCTTATGAAATCATCCTTAGCTCCTGTTCTAACCTAGTAAGTATCCCATATATATTACTTGGATATTACTTTCAACATAAGCTTTAATAATGAACTACTGTGGTAGTTTATAAATTAAATTATTTTGCAATTTGTTTTCTTTAACCGAGTTTATAGAAGTTTAGTTCTGCTAACTACGGTTCTTTCAATCACATATTTGTGTAAAAAATGTAAATCTTAGTTTTATTCCTTTTATTATTACATTGCTTATCGTTAAATTATGATTATTTTGTTTGAAAATAGAAGGTTATAGAAGTTTAGTTCTGCTAATTACGGTTTTTCAATCACATATTTATGTAAAAAATGTAAATCTTAGTTTTATTCCTTTTATTATTATATTGCTTATGAATATATTATGATTATTTTGTTTGAAAATAGAAGGTTATAGAAGTTTAGTTCTGCTAATTATGGTTCTTTCAATCATACATATATATGTAAAAAATTTAAATCTTAGTTTTATTCATTTTATTATATTGCTTATCGTTAAATTATGATTATTTTGTTTGTTTGTTTTAGAATTTTTACACAAAGCTACACAAGGATTATCTGAGTATAGCCATTTCAAATTTTGAGCATATAGACAATAGTGAAGTCAACAGTACCCAATGCCAACTCTTGGGCTACTCATGACTGATAGAAGAGTGAGATTTATTGTCACTATTATAGTACCTCCACGTTCTTAGCTCAGAATTTAAATTTCATAAATGCTTGAAAAAAAAAAGTGTGTTTCAACTCACTCTTCCTATCTTTCGATGGTCTCTTTTGGCAGCTTCTTCCTGGAACTTCTGCCATTCTTTCAATTGCTTGTTGTCAGGAAAGGAAATTCCATAAATTCGCTGTAGTGTTTCAGCTTCTGCATTCCCCTCCCAATAGGTAGAGGAGTTCTGAATAACATATTAATGAGAAACACTCTGCAAACCTAAATTTATCCAACAATTTCTTAACGTGTCCAACAATGTAAAGAAAATGCTGTAAAATTTTTTAAAATCTTTCAAAAAGTTACTAGCTGGACTTTTTTCTTCTTTCTAACAAACAGGTGACTTAGGTAATTTTCACACATTTAACAGAAAAATAATACCAAAATGTTAACTTTAAAACAATACATTATAAACCAATGGTATATGCTTTAAATACACTTTAGTTATTCAAATCCAATTCTTCATTAATTCTTGACATCAAATAAATAACTTTATGAACTTAAC